ACTACGTGCGCCGGTTCGTCCCCGACATGGCGAAGCTGACTGCCCCGTTGACCGACCTGCTGAGGAAGGGGGTTGAGTACACGTGGGGGGAGAAAGAGCAAGCTGCCTTCTCGGCCCTCAAAAATATTTTGTGCTCCCCGCCCGTCCTCCACATTGCAGATCCCCACCGTCCGTTCGAGCTCGTCACCGACGCAAGTGACATCGCTGTGGGAGCAGTACTGTTGCAGGACTTCGGGAACGGCCTCCAGCCAATCGCGTACGAGTCCCGCAAACTACACCCGCCCGAACGTAACTACCCGATACACGACCGCGAGATGCTAGCGATCGTGCACGCGTTCAAAGTTTGGCGATGTTACCTGACTGGCGCCGACGTGACAGTACGGACAGACCACCGCTCGCTACAGTACCTTCGCGCCCAACCGAATCTCAACCCACGACAGATTCGCTGGTTGGACTATCTCGAGTCCAATTTTCACTACACCGTTACATACAAAAAAGGCGCATCCAACATCGCCGACGCTCTCACCCGCCCCACCGCCCAACTCCACGCCATTCTACTCGCCCAGACCAACCCGCTTTTAACTGGCCTATTCACCCACGGATACCGCACCGACCCATTCTTCACGACCGGAAATTCACAGCAACTGGCAGAAGCAAAAGGAGTTTATTACGTAAAAACAGGTACCAACCGCATTTGGGTACCCGCGTACTCACTACTGAGGGAGCTGCTACTGCAGGAGGCACACGACGGGATTACCTCGGGACATTTTGGGGTAGAAAAAACGCGACAGCAACTGCAGCGGTATTATTACTGGCCGGAGCTGTTGACCGACGTACAGCAGCACGTGGGCTCGTGCCCGACGTGTCAGGTGATGAAGAGTTCAAGGAAGCGGAAGGCGGGTCAATTGCAGCCGATCCCACCGCCCGAACGCGCCTGGCAGCAAGTAACCATGGACTTCGTCACAGGGTTACCTTCAAACCCTGGGGGTAACGACGCGGTGATGGTCGTCGTGGATAGGCTGACGAAGATGGCACACTTCGCTGCGTGCAAAAAGTCGATCTCAGCCGAGGAGACCGCTCGCCTGTTCATCGCAGCCGTTGTTCGCCTGCACGGGATACCAGCAGCAATTATCAGCGACAGGGACACGAAGTTCACCAGCAACTTCTGGAAGAACCTCTAGGAGCAGTTCGGGACCAGGCTACAGTTCAGTTCGTCGTACCACCCCGAGACCGACGGCCAAACGGAGCGGACGAATCAGACGATGGAGCAGTTGATTCGTGCCACGTGCGACGACCCCACGACCTGGGAGCAGCAGTTGCCGCTGATCGAGTTCGCGTACAACAACGCCACATCAGCCACGACGCAGCAGTCCCCGTTCTACCTGAACTATGGGCAAAACCCCACAGTGCCCATGACGCCGAGTCCGGACAACCCAACGCCACGTGCACAACAATTCGCCGAAGTCCTGCAAGCTGCCCGCGCCAGAGCCGCCGAAGCAATAAAAAAGGCCAACGTCATCGCTAAGCGCAACGCTGATCGCCACCGCCGTCCTGTCACGTACCAATCTGGAGATTACGTGCTACTTGACACGCAAAATCTGCGACTGCCCGACGTACCAAAATTACGACCGCGCTACTGTGGACCATTCCAAATCAGTCACATGATCACACCCGTCACCGCGCACCTACTGTTGCCAACCGACTGGTACATCAGCCCTTCGTTCCACGTCAGCCTACTTCGCCCATACATCCCGACCACAAGTCAACTGCCGCGTTACCGGCCACAATCAATGACTCGCCCTGCATCAGAGCCGATCATCGAGCCCGAAAAAATTCCGAGCCATCGGATCCGCCACCCCACGGGAATCAGGAGGATTGAATTCCTCGTTCGCTGGAAGGACCGCACGCCAACTGAAGACAGCTGGGTGCCCCTGGCCAAAATCGAAAACCACTCTGCCCTGCAAGTGTACCTGAGGAGCCGGGGATTCCGCGATATACACGCACTCGCGTAGCGGAGGGGGCTTCTTAAGGGGGGGGGTAATGTAAGGAAATTTCTCGGCATTCCTTACGGAGCCGACTACATCGCGTACAGCAACAGCCGATTGTTCGCCCGTTACTGCTAACGGAACTTCGCCGACTTCGCGCGCACTGTTTTGCCAAACCTCGCACTGCTGGCATGGCCGTATCGGCCTACGCTTCGGGACTAGCCCGAGCCTCGCTCCAGCGTAGCACTAGCAAGCTCGCACGCACCGCGTTACCGTTTTGCATGTTTCGCGTATAAATGTTCGCTCATGCCTTCGCTCACATTTTGTACTCATTTGACACCTTAGTGCAGTTCTCGCTACTTAGATTCATTGCACCCGTAATAGTAGCTTGCTTCCTACACGAATTGATTAGGTTGTGCTGGCCAGCTGATTATTGGTATCGTGCAATGCATTAGGAGAGTGGATGCAAGTGAGACTGAGTTACTAGTAGTGACTCCATAATAATGCATAGAAATACATTTAGCGGACATGGCTACTACCAGACGGCCCTAAAACGCCTAGAATATATTGGTCATTGATACAAGACAGACGTACAACGCATCAAGATTATCTGAGAAGAATGCATCGGATACGGGTGGCATGTAGGGGAGGGCAAACCACGGGGAAAATGGGGAAAGATGAGGGCAGACGAGGGACAGCGGGGAGGGGCGGGGTGGAATGGAAGTCTGGTTGGGGAGTCCTGGGTGGTGCGGCCCTTATTCAAGATACCATCTTCTTGCGAAACGGACGGGAGGCCTCGACGACGCGTCTCATGGCGGCGAGTCTCTGCAGTCGCACAGTCGGCCTCGTGCGACTCTCAAACTCAGACGAACGCCTTTTCGCCTGTCGCGCTCATCGTCTTGCGCTCCGCAGTAGTTTCCGACACAGTCGCGGCGATATCGTTCTCGGGCTGTACCACAACCATTGATTGCTTCTCAGGCGCCATCCGGCGTGACTGCCACGAGCTGCCGGCGGGAATCGCGGCTGCGGCTTGGGACGACCTGGCGTGCGGACGCAGACGCAGCATGGAGGTAACAAGCGGCGCGGGCACGATCACGCCGCCCATCGAGTGCACAACGACGTTCCGCGTCGTCAGCGCGTTAATATCCTTCACGGGCACGCTCCCCGCGTAGAAATAATGCGGGTCCATGGAGAGAACTATAGCCGATCCGGTGGATGACGTGGCGGCGCCGTTCCAGGCGAAGAGAGAGACGCTGTGGGGGACGAAGTGGTGCAGGAGGAGCTGTCGCAGCGCCGCGCGATTCTCGGGGAGCACGAGAGTTTCGATGCCCTCTTGGGAGATGTGTTCTGATATGCCTGCGTTGGTGGGCGCTAGGACAGTGACGGTGCTCGCTCTCGCGATCATGCGATCGATTTCAGGGCCAAGGTTTGCGTGCGAAAGCAGCCTGGCAAAACTGGTGTAACCTGACGTGGATAACTGTGTGACAAAAGAAGCGTGTGCGAGAGACAGGGATAGGGACGCCAGGAGCAAGATCGCGAGACAGCGTGCAGCCATTTGCGCCTCCGTCGTGTGACCGCTCAGCAAATGTATGGAAAACGAAGTTTTTTTTTTGTGAGTGGCGCGAGGAGCGAATGTCTGCCGCTTTCGGTCCTTAGATGCCAATGTAAATGTTGGTTTGCTTGTCAAAGCAAGCCGCTGATTAGTTACTCGAGTTTTGAGTTTGAATGGACGTCGGCGCGAGGGGTTGCGTTGAGTCAGGACTCAGGGACGGTCGCAACTCGCGGACAACGCGCTCAGGTTGCATAGTATGGGCAGGAATTCTGTGAGTGCGTTTTATTCCAGGAGTGGAAGCAGCTGGTGGACGCATGGCCGTCGGTTTCGCCCCGATTTCCGTGCTTGGCATTGATGGATGGGTGCTGTTGGATGTATGGTCGAGCAACAGACGCGACGGGAATAACGCACACATGAAAAGTGTACACCATGCCTGCTGCGTCGAACTTCACGCTGCACTCCTGCACAGTGCTGGAAAAATCTGCGCTTCGGATTCCCGCTAAATTCAGCAGACATTCTTGGAGAATCTGATTGGACGGAGGAATTCCTGCGGTAGAGATTGGACACCGTCCATCGCCGCGTGCAACGGAGAAACAAGCAGGTTCTTTTTGGAAAGCATTCTCCCTGGCGGTCAAACCCAGTCTCGCCTGGCCAATTTCCTGAGGATGAAAGCTTCCCTCGTGTACAGTGTATGGAATTTCGCCTGCGCGTTTCCCGGGTACTTGCAGACTGCAAACCAGATGCATTTCACCGACAACGAATGCATGGAAAATGTGTGGACCTGCTGAAACTGCGCCTCATCTTGCAGAGCACCTCGTTATTATACACACAAACAGAAGATATTAGCATGAAGACTATAGCTGGACAAAGGCGATAAGAGAATCTACATATTCTCTTCCTAATCACGCAATATAACGAAGCACTCTGCAAAATGCTCACAGATATTTCGGCGATAGTTTTGGGCTAGCACAGCCTCCTAAGTTTAGCGCCTAGGCCAAGCGGCAGACCTGATTCCAACGCAGCACAAAGGAGTGGTGGGTTTTTCTTCCGAATTTTCGAAGTCGCCATGGCGACGTGGATGCTCTAAGCCATGAACCGCCGTGTGTAGTACGCGTTTTAGTGTCCTGTCCTGCCGCCCCTTCAGGCAACACGGGGCCGCGGAAGCAAGTTCGAGTATTACTACGAGCCGCGCCTCACTCGAACAGGCAACTCTGGTTCGTGGCGGCTTCCACCCCGTGACGCGAGCCAATCCAGTGCCGGCAATCGCGGTGGCGAAAACCATCCTTTGAGGAGTCTCGAAGCGCGCATCCTCCAGGCGAGCGCCAGTGCATTCGCTCCAGCGGAGCATTCGCCGCGCGAACGAACATCCGCGCATTGGGGGGCCATATCAACATCCCGTCTCGTCTCGTCTCCTTTCCTCTTGCCTCGTCTCGTCGCTTTGGGGGTGTCGGCATTCAGTCGCGATGGCGCGGTTGAGTGGCGGTGCGCTCGTGGCGGCGATGCTGCTCGCCGCCCTCGTGCCTGGCAGTCGCTGCGCTTCCGCGCAAAAGAGCAACCTCTTAGGTACGCTGCTGTGCCGCGCCGTGTGACGCTGTGGTGTGCTGCTGCACGTGCGTGCGTGTCTGCCTCTGTGTGCACGCGCAGGCGCGCACGCGTGTATGTCCGCATGTGCATGCGCTTCCTTGTGTGTGCGCGAGCATGTGTGATGCGTATTCCAATGCCCCCATGCCATCCCGTGCCACCCGACCCCACCCCACCCCACCCCACCGCACCCCACCCCACGCGGGCGCAGGCGAGGTGATGGGGGAGTTGGCAGCGGAGTGGGCCAACAGCAAGCTAGCGTCGCTGACATGCCAGACCGCCCCGGACGTGCTCCTGTGCAACGACCAGGGCCAAGTGGTCTCCATGTACGCACCCCCATGCCCATGCCCATGCCCATGCCCATGCCCACGCCCACGCCCGCGCACACACCTCACTCATTCATTGCACTCCATGTCCGTCTGTGCCTAGCCTGCGTCGCCCCGGACGTGCTCCTCTGCAACGACCAGGGCCAAGTGGTCTCCATGTACACGCTCCATATGATGTCACATCACATGCCCGTGCATCGTCATATAGGTGTACTGGGTGGTCAGCACAGCACAGCACAGCACAGCATCGTGTCTTGTGTGAGCTCCAAGTCACCGCCATCCATGCATGCATTGTGCCAGGCGACAATTTCAAGCCTGCGCCGGCCCCCCTGAGATCCCTTGCTCTCCACTCCTCTCCACTCCTCTCCACTGCTCTCCACTGCGTTCCACTTCCCTCCCGTGCTCTCAACGTCACCTCTCATGCTGGTGCTCTGCTCTCCTCCTCCACCCCCAACGCAACCAATTGTGCTGGAGCGAGGAGCAGGCAGCTGGACGGAGTAGTGAATCCATTGACGGGCGGGGGGGATACGGTTCGGCTCCCCACCATACCTGCGCAAATCGGCAACCTCACCACCCTCACCTACCTGTGAGTAACCCCCTCCCTCCTGCCGCTGCTTGAGTAGGACCTGCTGCGTCCTCCATGCCCATGCCCATGCCCATGTCTATTCCCGCACCAGCACACTTATCGAGTAGAGGAGTGCCACGTGGAGCTATCCCCCCGCCTCACAAGCATGCTCATTGTGTTCCCATGCCAGCATAGTTGGTCGGTTGCTGCTCCGCGGCTGTGCTGATGCTGTTGTTCGTTTGTGTATCTGGCTGTCGTATGTATGTGTGTGTGACTGCATGTGCATGGGCATGTGCATGTGCATGTGCATGGGCATGTGCATGTGCATGTGCATGTGCATGTGGGCACGAGCAGGAGCATGGCAAGCAATTTTCTCGCGGGCACTGTGCCAGAGTCATTCAGCAACCTCGTTCAGCTGCAGTTACTGTATGCTCGCACACACACACACACACACACACACACACACACACACACACACACACACACACACACACACACACACACACACACACACACACACACACACACACACATAGGATGCCCTTCCCAACTCTCTCGTATGCAAACTGCTCAAACACTATCCTTGTTTTTTTTTTGAAAATGTTTCTTGCATGCACACACATGCGTGCGTGCATGAATGAATGCCCATGCACGCATGCTCGCACGCACTCACTCACCCACCCACTCGCGGACACACTGCCTGCTCCTCTGGCAGTGATAACGCTTTCTAAGTCGACTAGGAAATTTATTCACTCACCTGCCCACCCGTGCGCCTGCCCGCCCACCCGTGTGCCTGCCCGCCCACCCACACACTGCGTGCTCCTCCGGCAGGGACCTGAGCGCCAACGTGATAAGGAAGCCCATCGATGCCATCATGACCCTCACTGCTCTCACCTTCCTGTGAGCCTCCGCCCCCCTTCCTGCACTGCACTGCACTGCGCCCCCCACACGACCTTTGACACGCCGTGTAAGCGGACTTAGAGTACCGATCCTCATTCTTTCCTGCTCTCATGTACCTGCCAGCAGCCCCCTGCGCTCCCTCTCAGCAGCATCCCAACGCCACATTTTCGCATGCTGTTCGTCTTTCTCTCACCCACCGACCATAACCGAGTGCTGGAGTATAGATCCTCTGCTGCTGCCCCACACAGTAGGATTTGTGCTGTGCTGTGCGGTGCGGTGCTGTGCGGTGCTGTGCTGTGGCTGGTGACAGGAACGTGAGCTACAACGACATCAGGGCACCACTGTCGCCAGGCATAGCCAACCTGCAACAACTAGTAACCCTGTGCGTGCTCCACACATGCTCCACACATGCTCCACACATGCTCCACACATGCTCCACACATGCTCCACACATGCTCCACACATGCTCCACACATGCTCCACACATGCTCCACACATGCTCCACACATGCTCCACACATGCTCCACACACCCTCCACACACCCTCCACACACCCTCCACACACCCTCCACACATGCTCCACACATGCTCCACACTCTCTCCATGCAGCCGTGCACTGCCGTCACTCATCATGCCCTCCGTGCTCCTGGCCGCTTCCCTGTACACTACTCCCACACCCTCCTCCACACGCACTCCTGCATTTCGGAGGACTTTTGACTCGAATTTTAACCGTTTCCCCATACAGCACACCCATACCATACCCGCCTCTGCTCTCCTGCGTGTCTGACGGTCTGACCCATCGGGCTTGTGCGTGCGTCTGTGCGTTCTCGTGCTTGCTCTCATCCTCGCTGCTGCGCTTGTGCGGGCGAGCAGGGACACTTCGGGCAACAGCTTGACAGAGGTGCACGGCCTCTCCACCCTCACCAACCTGCAATCCCTGTGAGAGAGAACGAAAAGACAGAGGAGGGAGGGAAGGGAACTAGCACGGGTCATGTGGGCCTGCCCGTGGCAGGCGCCAGGCGGGCGGGCAAGCGACGACTAGCGTTGGTTGTTTGTGTCGTACTTACTTACTTACTTACTTACCAAGAGAATGCTCGCATGCCACGTTCTGGTGCAGGAACGCTTCCGTGCCGAGGTTTGGGGCGCCTCAAAAGGTACAAGACAAGACCATGCCAGCATGCCACTTGCTGCTGCAGGAATGCTTGCTTGTGTGACAATGCAATGCCATGGGCCTTTGCAATGCCATGGGCCTTTGCAATGACACGCAGTGCAGCCTCCTCACCTGCCCGCACTCCCTGTAGCAAAATGGGGCTCTGAATTGGAGTGCTAACGCACACCTCAATCGACTCACATTACATGTGCGTTTGTGAACTCAGCATCAGGTGCTGTCAAGGCATTGGTGTTCCTCCCCTTTTTACCTTGTTGCCTGTGTGCCTGTGTGCGTGTGGGTGGGAGATGCAAACGCACAGGGTCATTCAGGAGTGCGACATAGGCCCTGCGTCTCTAACGATCTTCGCCCCATTGAAAGCCTTACAGGACTTGTGCGTACACACCCGCCTCTCAACCGTTCCATGCTTTCTCAAGTAGCCGTAGGAACATGCTGCGGCCTGGAGGCTTGATGTCAGGGGAGATTTACGGGGAACTTCAGGTTTAGGGGACTACACGAATGGGGAGTGGGCATCTCCGGGAAGACTTTTGAGGCGCCTCAAAAGTCATGTTCAGGGGAATCTACTAGCAAGGAGGGAGTCTTTCCAGTAGAAGCTCTCTCTCGCTCCAATAGCACCACAATGAACTCCCCGGACGGACCCCAGGTGAGAGTTCTCTCTCCTTTGTTCTCTCATTTCCTTTGCACTGTACGTTCATACACTGCACCGCACACTCATACGCTGCACCGCACACTCATACGCTGCACCGCCCGCTCGCACGCTGCACCGCACGCACATTCACAAGCCCGTGGCATTGCATTGTCATTCAAGCGAGCATTCTCTCATTTCCTCTCTCCTTCACTCTCTCCCTCCGTCTCTCCCTACCATCTCGCTTTTCCTCTCTCCTTCCATGTCCCTTTGCCCGAAATTTCTCACCTTCCTGCTCTCCTTCCCTTGCTCTTTCATGTTCTAAGCGGCACAAATAATGACTTCTCGAAACTCTTCCTTTGTGTGTCCTGCCTTCTGAAATGACTACACAATCAATCCCCCCGTGTGCATGCTCAGGGTCCTGTACAACAACTCGTTTGAAGGCTCTCTTAGTGCCCTCTCAACACTCAATAGCCTACAGCACCTGTGAGATCCTCACCCCACCTCACCTCACCTCACCTCACCCCACCTCACCTCACCTCACCTCACCGCACCTCACCTTTTAACACCTGTGTGACCCTCCCCATCACCCGTTCCTTTTTAACCTGTCACCCGTGCCGCTTCCGCACTCAATCGCACACCATACCACACACACTAACAACGGCTGCCGATCACAGCACATGCCACCACCCCCTTTGGTCGCATCACATGTACCGGATCAATCGATGAGATTGTGATGTGATGAGATTGTGATGTGATGAGATTGTGCACACCTGTTTGTTTGTTTCTTTTTTCACTTATTGCTGTTTCTTTCATTCTCTACTCCGGTTCTCATCTGGCAGTAACTTGGCCTACAACAACGTAGGACCAGACGTACCAACCTCCTTATCCCGCCTCTCCAAGCTCTCCTACCTGTATGAACGGCACAGTGCGTGCACACACACACGCACGCACACACGCACGCACACACGCAGGCGCATGCACGCACGCGCACGCATGCACGCACACACGCAGGCGCATGCACGCACGCGCACGCATGCACGCACACACGCACAAACACACAGACACACACACACACGCGTGCGCGCACGCGCACGCGCGCGCACACACACACACACACACAATCACACACACACTCACACAGACACACACATGGCCAAAGAGTGCAGAAATATCACAAGTTGCGGAAGCTCCAGCGATCCTACCGGGGGGCATTGGTTCCTGATGGGGCTGCTGATGGAGATGAGTGAAGTCAGTGGCACAGCACACTCGTGAGGCTCCTGATGGAGATGAGTGAAGTGAGTAGCAGTGTTGTCCTGATGCAGTCACACTCGTGAGGCTCCTGATGGAGATGAGTGAAGTGAGTAGCAGTGTTGTCCTGATGCAGTCACACTCGTGAGGCTCCTGATGCGGTCACAGTGCTGTCACTGGCTGCATTGCTGGCTGGCTTGCTTCTGATGGGTACTTGTTGCCGGTATTTGAGCGCGCTATGCACATGGAGATGGGTTGGAACGGAAATGCCCACATGCCCATGTGCCCCCATCCCCACATGCCCATATCCTTCATGCCCACATGACCATGTGCCCCCATCCCCACGTGTTCCCATGCCCATATGCTCTCCATACCCCCATGTTCACTCTGTTTTGCTGCCTTTCACACATGTGCTTTCAACTCGAGACCAAGCCGCGTCTCTCAGCCGTTTATTCATGTAACACGGTGTTTGCTACACACGCACGCACACACGCACCCCACCCCTTCTTTCCCCCCCCCAACCCTCCCACACACACATTCTCCCCATCCCAACAGCGACCTTTCATCTACTCTCCTGAGTGGCCCTATCGAGCCGCTCACAACCCTCCCTGCACTGAAAGGCCTGTCAGTATTCTTGCTCGTGCTCCTGTTGCTTGCCGCCACTAAGCGTTCTTTGCATGAGCCCATCCATCCATCCATCCATACATCCATCCATCCATCCATCCATCCATCCATCCATCCATCCATCCATCCATCCATCCATCCATCCATCCATCCATCCATCCATCCATCCATCCATCCATCCATCCATCCATCCATCCATCCATCCATCCATCCATCCATCCATCCATCCATCCATCCATCCATCCATCCATCCATCCATCCATCCATCCATCCATCCATCCATCCATCCATCCATCCATCCATCCATCCATCCATTTATCCTTCCATCCATCCATGTATCCATCCATGTATCCATCCATCGATCCTTCCATTTATCATCCATCCATCCATCCATCCATCCATCCATCCATCCATCCATCCATCCATCCATCCATCCATCCATCTATCCACGTGTCTCCCTGTGCTGTTGCTCCCTTCGCTGCACCATGCAATGCAGGTTCTTATTCAACACCGCTGCCTCAGGCTCTTTTCCTGCGTCCATCTCACGCCTTTCTCACCTCACCATGCTGTGAGCATGTGCCATGCACTGCCAAGCATGTGCCATGCACTGCCAAGCATGTGCCATGCACTGCCAAGCATGTGCCATGCACTGCCAAGCATGTGCCATGCACTGCCAAGCATGTGCCATGCACTGCCAAGCATGTGCCATGCACTGCCAAGCATGTGCCATGCACTACCAAGCATGTGCCATGCACTGCCAAGCATGTGCCATGCACTGCCAAGCATGTGCCATGCACTGCCAAGCATGTGCCATGCACTGCCAAGCATGTGCCATGCACTGCCAAGCATGTGGCATGCACTGCCAAGCATGTGCCATGCACTGCCAAGCATGTGTCATGCACTGCCAAGCATGTGCCCGTGTTTCCAAGTTCATATTGGGAGTAGCAGCAAACCTGAAGATATCGCTTAAGCAAAAGGATCAAGACTAGTAAAACTTGTTCCTAGAAATTCAAGGAAATCTCAGAGCCTCCAAACTCGAAAAACCCTTATTCGCAAACTAGTTTCGGCCAACGGGACAGAACCCCGCTAAGCCTTCATCAGTGCTGCTTACAGGTTCACAAGAAAGGGAAGCCACGGACAGCAGCTAGCTAAGTACCTGCTACTGCCCTCGAGATCTGCTTATTGTACACCAACTACCCAGATTGCAATTCATACGCAGTTGCCAACTAAGCAAGGGGGTAAACCCAATGTGCTCTGTCAGCCTTCGGAAAGTCTTCAAACAACTTCATCGCTTCGGTAAACGCGCACGCACTAGTAGCCTTTGCAGGTTACGAGAACACTTCCAAGCAGTTATAATTCTCTCCACATAAAACCCGCGTGAGTCGAGACGATTTTTGAGACGCCTCAAAAATCATGTGCCATGCACTGCCAAGCATGTGCCCGTGTTTACACTCTTTTGTTCCAGCCACCCTCGACTTTTTGGGGCAGCTAGAAGCGTGACAACAGTGCATCAGCTCCTTGCTTGCTTGTGCAGCGTTCATATCACGCCACACAAAGACATACAGAACAGCCCAGGTTTGCACTACCACCACCAGTGGCTGACCTCAGCTCAGACCCTCCGATTGCCACCACAGACCACCCCACCCACCCTATGCATGCTCTTGTTTTGTCTCATGCACGCACCAATCCTGTAACTCACTCACTCACTTCGCTCTCTCCATTCCCTTCAATCCCCAGCCCGCTGCTTCATCCTTCTACCCACCTGCCGTGCCGCCACACCTCCAGTCAGATGAGCAAGATCCCAATCTTCATTGAATGAGCAAGAGCCTCTCGTCAGATCAGCACTGAAGATTAGGATCTTGCTCATTCACCTCATTCACCTCATTCACCTCCTTCACCTCGTTCACCTCGTTCACCTCGGATTCTGCTTTGCTATTGCATCCGCCCTCCGCCTGCCTTGCCGCCACGCCTTGCCTCCAGGGTGATCAGCAGGACCAACATCACAGGCACCCTTCCTGCGTCCCTGGGCCAGATGCGCAGTCTCTCCCACTTGTGAGCTCAAATAGAATTCTCCCTGTATAAAAGCCGCGTTGCGCGTTATGAGACGATTTTTTCGGCGCCTCAAAAACCCTTCCCGCGTCCCTGGGCCATATGTGCAGTCTCTCGCACTTGTGAGCTCCAACCCCTTTCGTTCTAGAGCACCTCAATTGCCCTGTTTAAAACCTGAAGGCTCCTCCTCGTGCTAGAAGCTGCACCAACGTGTGCTCACTGTGGGTACCAACACATGAACAGAACAAACAAACAAAACCAACCAACCAACCAACAAAGAAACTAACTGACTAACTAACAAAGAAACAAACCAAACCAACCAACAAACAAACCATCTTACAAACAAACCAACCAACCAACAAACAAACAAGCTGGGTACAAAGCTTGCCACTACGGCTTTGGAGTGCCATCTATGCACCTGCAAGGTGCCCTGTAGAATCTGTCTAACTCCTGTGAAGCAAGGTATCCATGTCTGTCCAGTTATCCCCTGCCATGCCACGTGTCCCCTCCTCTCCTCGCTCGCGCCCAGTTACCTGGATTACACAACAATGGTGGGGTCCATTCCAGCATCCCTGGGTAACCTCACTGGCCTTCAGGATATGTAAGGCTCGTGCTCTGCTCTGCTCTGCTCTGCTCTGCTCTGCTCTGCTCTGCTCTGCTCTGCTCTGCTCTGCCCTGCTCTGCTCTGCTCTGCCCTGCTCTGCTCTGCTCTGCCCTGCTCTGCTCTGCTCTGCCCTGCTCTGCTCTGCTCTGCTCTGCTCTGCCCTGCTCTGCTCTGCTCTGCTCTGCTCTGCTCTGCTCTGCTCTGCTCTGCTCTGCTCTGCTCTGCTCTGCTCTGCTCTGCTCTGCTCTGCT